ACCACTCGACCAAACATTATACTGAGTGAACCGGAAGCGAAAGTGACAATTCTTGACGACGACCACAGCGGTGTCTTCTCGTTCAACAATAATATGATACAAATTCCTGAAAGCGTCGGTCACTACCACTTAAGAGTCACCCGATTTTGTGGTGCGAGAGGACATGTGGCCCTTCCCTATAAGATGAGCGCCGGAACTGCTAAACCAAATGTTGACTTCCAGATGATTGACTCGAAGATTGAATTTGGAAACAATGAGACGCATAAAGATATTGTCCTTAATATTATAAATACTGATAACTACGAGAAGAATGTGGCGTTTTATGTGGAGATAGGAGAGCCCTATCGTATCGACTATCATCCGACCAAAGAAACGGGTGATGAAAAGGGTGCGCCACGACTCGGGGAACTCGTCAAATGCACGGTTAGGATCCGCGAGAGTCGAGACTTTAGAGCGACAGTCGATAAGTTGATGCGACAGAAGAAAGCCGTTTCGGCCATCAGTACGTCTTCATGGGAGGGACAGTTCATCGAAGCGGTGAGAGTGCCGTCTCTCGGCTCAGAAAGAGAAGCCGATGCGGAGGTTGAGGGCGACGTGCGAGTGGTTCAGAAGAAGTCAATAATGGCTTATATTTTCCATTACTTGACTTTATTCTGGAAAGTGTTGTTCGCTTGCGTTCCGCCGCCAAACCTATACAACGGTTGGGCCTGTTTTGTGGTCTCCATTATAGTGATCGGCTTATTGACGGCACTCATCAACGACTTGGCCTCACATTTCGGCTGCACTATTGGCCTCAAAGACTCGGTTACGGCCATATCATTGGTGGCATTGGGCACATCAGTTCCCGACACTTTTGCCTCCAAAATCGCGGCTCTCAATGACAAATACGCCGACTCTTCCATCGGAAACGTGACCGGAAGTAATGCAGTCAACGTATTCTTGGGAATCGGTATCGCGTGGACTATAGCCGCTGTATATCACGCTTTTAAGGGCACAGACGGAGGCTTTGTCGTGGATCCGGGAAATCTGAGCTTTTCTGTCACCATATTCTGCATCTCGGCCTTTGTTTGCGCCGCTGTTTTGCTAATGAGACGAACGGCTGCTGTCGGCGGAGAATTAGGCGGTCCTATGATTTACAAACTGCCGACAACTATACTTTTTGTGGCCCTTTGGCTCATATATGTTGTTCTGTCCAGTCTTGAGGCCTATCGTATTATTGACGGCTTCTAATGTGGTATTTATGATGATATGGGTTGCGGTGGGGGTTACAAACGGGTACAATACTGACAAAGGTTGCCAAATATACAGCTTTATAACTTATAAGTATTCATTAATACTGATAAGTATTCCCAAAGACTGTATAATTGTTGGGAAAGTTATTTCGAATTCATTCCAAATATAACTTGGTCTCAATGTTGAGATTTCCTATATTTTAATCATTTATTCATTGATTTCGACAATATTTTTACGATTAGAAGCGACTATTTTTGGGAAAAGTGTTTATTTTCTCAGATTTGAGTTCTCGTTACTATTGGTCTCAATGTTGAGATTTCCTATATTTTAATCATTTATTCATTGATTTCGACAATATTTTTACGATTAGAAGCGACTATTTTTGGGAAAAGTGTTTATTTTCTCAGATTTGAGTTCTCGTTACTGTAGTGTATATTTAACATAAATATCTAATATAAATCATTCGTTGGAAAAACAAATTCATTTAATTTATACTAATTATGATTAAAGATAGCATTTCTTTAAGTTATTGAAACAAACGACTCAATACTGGCAACAATTTTATCAGTATTAGTCTGAATCGAGTTACTCATGAGATTAGTTCCAGATTATTTGTTGCATTGAATTCATATAATCATGTATTGATTGACACAATGTTACCATTTAATTGTAATATTTAATTATTTTTATAAACAATATTCCATTTTTATACCAAAAAAGCTTTACTCAAAATTTCACTGAATATTTGTTATGAGCTTTATTTGCGTTAATGTCAACACAATTATAACAGTCATAGGGAAGGCATAATTATGTAATATTCCTATCACTGTATGTTCAAGTGATTCACTAATTATATTGTCTTTCAATTAGTTTCTGTTAATTAGTCATTAATCGCAATCACTTTAAATGTCATATTTTTCATAATTGGTTTCATTGGGAATAAAATCGTCTATTCATTGATTCACACAATATTATACCTGAATATAGCCTACAGTTTAGACTTAATGGTAATGCATTGAAACACAAACTCATTTCAATTGATAACAGATTGCAATCACTTAACACTTTACGGTCCATTCAATTGTATCTGATTTTCAATCAATAAAACAATATTTTGTATCAATTATTAGCATTTTATTGGTTTTGATCCCATATTAAGGCAAATAATTATCACATATTGATTAGAAGTGATTAAATGGTAGCGATGGACAGTGGGGTCAAGCGTTGGACACATACTTAATCTCGTCGAAGGCTTTCCTCGCTTTCTTCAGCTCTTCATTCATCGACAAGAGATCCCTAACTCTGGAGTACTTGCGTTCATCCCGTTTGACGCAATGGAGGACGTCTTCGACGGATATCTTGCC